CCTTAAGCACTTAATTTTTCAGCATCACCCATCCTTCCTGTGCTGATTTCCCCCTCAGCATTTCCAGCCATGGGATCCTACCTAATATTTCTCTGAGTCTTTTGAAATCAGCTTTCCTGAAGTCCAGGATACTAGTCCTACTATGTCTTGGTTTCACATCCTTCTCTTTGTCAAATTCCAAGCCGACATGGTCACTATTCCCCAAGGATCCCACAACGTTCACTTCATCAACCAGTTCATAGCATCAGAATTGGAAGGGACCTTGTAGGTCATCTAGTACAACCCCCTGCACTCTGCAGGAGTGTAGCCAAAAGATAGCCCTACAACATACCCGAAAGATGGTCGTCCAGCCTCCGCTTAAAAACATTCAATGTTTCAACAGTTCTTCCCTGTTAGTCAGGATTAAATCCAGGATAGCAGATCCTCTGGTTCCCATCTCCACCTTCTGAGAGATGAAGTTGTCTGCAAGACTATTCAAGAATCTACGGGATGCCCCATGTCTAGGAGAGTTAGATTTCCAACAAATATCTGGATAGTTAAAAACTCCCATAACACTACATCCTGTCTCTGTGAAAGTTTAGCAAGCTGTTGCACAGTTCCTCCGGTTGGTTTGGAGGTCTGTAGTATACCCCCACCACAATATCCCCTTCTTTTTTTCCTCACTTTATCCTTACCCACACACTTTCAACAGGGCAACTCTCGAAAATCTGAATTTCAGTGCAAGTGTATTCATTCTTAACATATAGTGCCACCCCGCTTCCTTTTTTGTTTATTCTGTTCCATTTGAACAAGGTATATCCGTCAATCGCTGTGCTCCATATATGAGACTCATCCCACCAAGTCTCAGTGATACCTATCAGATCATACTTACTTTCCAATATTTGAAGTTCAAGTTCATCCTGTTTATTTCCCATACTGTGTGAATTATTATAAAGACATCTCAGATTACAGACATCCTTTCCTACCATAGGTCCCTTTGAATTTACCTGAAAACTACTGAACTCACCTCTCTCCTGTTCATTAATTCTCTGGTCCCTTCCTTTCTTGAATTTAGTGTCAGCTGATGCCGCTATGGGCTGGAATGTGTAGGATGTGTAGCTTGCTCTCTGCTGCCCTGCCCTCTTGCCCAGTTGTAACTCCTTAGCTGTCTTGCTGTAATGTATCCAGTCCAGACCGCGTGGCCTGCTTGGGCTCCACGCGGTCAGACACAAATGTCGAGCTTCGCTCCAAGAGACAATGGACTATGCAGATCCTAGCCCGCTCCAATCAGGGGGCTAGGTTCCTGGCCGAAAGCCCAGGGGTCATTTCATAGAAAAAGAGCTAGGGGAACTCATTAGCATAACTCATTAGCATATGCCACACCCCCTGACATCAGGGGCCCGGCGGTGGACCTGCAAGGCCGGCGGGAGTGCGAGGAAGCCCCGCCAAGGCCCTCCCTGGCCCCAGGCAGGCAGGGGTGGGGAGAGGCGGGGAGGAAGCAACTTACCCTCCCTCTTCTCCTGCCTCCTCCTGGATGAATGAGGGCCGGAAATGGGGGGCAGGGCTTCGTCGTGTGCCCCATCCCCCGCACCTCACCCGGGGGAACTGCGATCCCCCGCGATCCCCCCCGAATTGACCTCTGTGCACAGGCCTCATTGTAGATGGTTGTATGTCCAGGGTCAGGGTCAGTACGCACAGTCCTGCTCTCCTCTTTGCATGCAGAATGTACAGAGTTGGGATGACTTAGCAGAGCTACATTTTCAGCCCTCTAATCCTGGAATGCGAGTGCACTCGCTTCTCAGTGAAAAAGGGAAATTTATGCTTAACATGGAGCAAGAAACCCTTCACAAATGGGAAAACCGCTCTGCTTTTTCCCCACTGAGTCCTGAGCCATTAGCTTTTCCCTGCACTTACAGGTGCTTGCTTATTGGCTTATTCCCAACAGGGGCTCATATATGAATAAAGTATAATTTGCTCTGCCCACCCCTCGCCCGCCATTCCTGACACAAGATTTTATATTTCCATTGCTAAACTGAGTCTGCTGAAGAACCCATGATTGATACTGAGTTATTGGGAAAACCTGACAGCTGCACAACTTCAGGCTTTTTCTTCCCACCTCCCCCACCCCCAATGTCTTCAGTTTAAAGCCCTCCTGATCAGGTTCGCAAGTCTTCCAGCAAAGACATTCCTCCCATTCTTTGTAAGGTGCACCCCACCCATCGCCAACAGTCCCTCATGTTGGATATAAGCCACTTCAGGTCTCTTTAGGGAGAAATGCTGCCTGAAACACTGAAGCATTTGGAGTCCTGCCTGCTCTCCCATGGAGCCTCAGGGCCAACCACTTCCCAGGCTGTCCTAAGAGTTGCCAGTTGCCCATCCGTGGCAGGGAAGCTCCAACCCCCACACTTCATTCTGTACAGTTGATCCACTGAGCCAAAAATTGGGGGGAAGTGATATTGCAGAGATAATGAAGTCACCTCTGGGTTACTGGACACACCACTGTAGGAATTTTCTCTAATCTCCATGACTGTGTTGTGGGCCAGCCAAGCTCAGCCAAGCAAAGAGACACTGAAGGATCCTCTGAGGAGGAGGCAGCCAGTGGACCTGACCCCAACCCACAGCCAGTGGCAGAGGCACTGCGGGAGGAGGAGGCAGTCTCTGAAGGGCCAGACATAGGTCCTCAGCCAGACTCCAACCCGCCCCCAAGAGCTCATTCTCTTTGCCATGTTGACACAAGGCTTGGAACCATATGTTATCCACAGGCTTCAAAAATGATTAAGGGAAATGAATGGGATCCACTTACTTCTGCAAGGTGCCTCGGACATCCTGGAAGGAAGGAAGAGAAAGAAAAGAAAACTCAGTGTCTGCCCTGAACTGCAGTAGCACAATGAAGGTTTTCTGTGCAGTGGGTTTATTTGGAACATTCACACTTCCTTATCCTTTGATTGTTCCCCTTTCAACCTTTTCATGTTCTCAGTACACTTCTTCTCAAACAATGCAGTTCAAGCATGTTACATACACCATCTGGACGGGAAAGTGCACATTTTCAAGGTTCCCCTCACAGTTGTACCATTTTCCTTCTGTCAGCCCATCAAGTCCACTGTTTTCCCTGCTGTGCAACCAAAGAGCTATTTTTCAGCTGCGAACTGCTATCATGCTATAGCTTTCATTTTTAGAAAAAGGTCTCTAGCACTTTCCATTGCACAGATGAAAGGGGACTAGCCGTGCAACAAAACGTGCTAGCCACTTCCTTGAAGAAATGACAGCCGGGTAGCCAGAGTAACTCACAAATTGTGGCAATAGATTGTTATGGCACTGTACTATAGGGTTGTAGCAGCTATATAAAAAGGCCCCTCTGGTGTTACACGTAGAGATGTAAAGGCCGAGGAAAAAAATAGAAAAATTCGGGGGGAAACGGGTTCTTTCCGTTTTTTTCCTGAAGCCTTTTTTTTCTGAAAAATTGGAAAAATTGAAAAAATAAAATAAAAGAAATTGATTATGGAGCATGATAATGACAAACACAACAAAGTAGCTGCAGAAGGAGAGACTGAAACTGATACTGATAATTACAGCTCAGAAAATGATTCTGATAAATTGTCAAGGCCTTTCATTGAAACCTAGCCCCACACTCCCTTCTATACATTTCCCCCCTCTTCAATTCTTTTTATGAGAATGGGTTTTTTACTTTTATTTAATACTGTGGAGAGGAACTATGAATAATTGTTACTTCTGGATTTTTAAAAATTGTTTTGTGGAGGAGGGTTTTTTTGTCTGTTCCATATAGACTAGTAAACAGTTCAGAAGAAGAAGTTCACTACCCAAAGGTGTCTCAGAGCGGCTTACAATCTCCTTCCCCTTCCCACAACAGACACCCTGTGAAGTAGGTGGGGCTGAGAGAGCTCTAACAGAAACTGCTCTTGAGAGAACAGCTCTGAGAGAACCTGTGACTGACCCAAGATCACACCAGCAGCTGCAAGTGGAGAAGTGGGGAATCAAACCCGGTTCTCCCAGATTAGAGTCCATGTTCCTAACCACTACACCAAAAGATTGTTGCTCCATTTGTTTCAATTACAAATAAATATTATAAAATAAGTAAACAATGTTTGTAATAATTGTTTGGATACACTATATTTTTAATATGCTAGTTGTGATAATTTCATGCCAAGCAAAATTGTCCATAGTCATATTTTATGTTCCTAAAGTAACATAATGACTTTCAATCTTGAAAAGAAAAAAAAAGTGCTAATGTAGCATTTTTTTTCAATTTTTCCAAAAAATCCTGTTTTTCCCTGGGGGGAAAACGGGCTTTTTTCCGAGCTTCAAAATTTCCGGAAATTTTACATCTCTAGTTACAGGTGAGAGGGAGGTACAGAGGAAATGGCAGTTGATGTAGAAAACTGCACAAAAAACTCCCATGTGGAGACTCCATTGCCAGTGCAAATGACTCCACATTCATGGCGGTGATGAAAGGCAGAGAAATGGAGAATCTTTGCCAGGTACGTGAAGGCTAAAGAAATCACTTCAGGACAACCACACCTCTCAAGGATTGGGGATTTCTCTTGGTAGTGTGGCCCTGTTTTCATCAGAAAAAGTTTGCAAACACTATCCAGTTGAGAATGACTTTGAACATTTTCCACCAGAGTCGTACCTGCAGGAGTTCAGTCACTGACTGCTGACTCTTCTCCTCCATCTCCTGGATGAGGCTTTCAAGAGAGGAGAGTTCCTCAGAGAGTCTGGCCAGGTACTCGTCCCTTTTCCTTCTAATCTCCTTCTCTGTCTCTTTTATCTGGGACAGTAGATTTTTTTCTTGTTCATTTAGGAAATGGTGTAGTGTTCTGAACTCAGCCACTACCTTTTCTCTCCCTGATTTTGTTCTTTTCTGGAGGGAGGGAGGGAGGGAGGGAGGGAGG